GTGTGTGTGTTCGCACCACCTTTGCACCGATAAACAAGCCGTTTGAGGATCGTTTTCGGTGCGGAAAAGTGCACAAGCTGTAGCGTAACAAGGCCATCATTCCGCACCCAAGCGTTTCTCATTTCGTGCCCGCGTCGCTGCGTTCGGTGCCGATATGTACTCTATTCACAATCCGTTTCATCGATAACTGCGCCAATTGGCGACGTTCTGCAAAAAAAACGAGTGCCCAAGCCTACTCCTAATAGGTGAACACTTCTCGCGTCGTTGTTTCCTTGCACCAACCCCTAAGTCACTCGTTCACACCCGGTTTGTCCTCTCTTTGCGGCGTCCTTCAACTGTCATTTGGGACACGTGTGTGTCGGTTTGGTTCTGCTGCTACGTGTGTGTCGGTCGGTTTGGTTCTGCTGCTGCTGTGTTCTTTTTTTGACCTCGTCCACACCGAGTGGCCAACTTTGGCACGTGTTCAGACCAGCTACCACGCATCTCCTCCTCTACAGCTCGCGGCTTTCACTATCTGCATATCACAGAGGGTGTTCGCGTGTGGTTTGCAGACCACGACATGGCGTAGTGAGGAGGGGCTCGCGATCGGCGACAACTCGCGTGCTAGTTCAAATATTCTGCTGCTGCTGTGTTCTGAGTGGTGGGGCATTTTTTCTACTTCTTCATTTATTAACGCATACGGAGTGCTGACAACAACGATTCGCATCAACAACATCGCATCAACAACATTTCGGGTGTGTACCAAAACAAAAGCAACACATATTCACGAGGGGCGCACGACCCAGCCTACTGCAGGTACTTTCCGCAGCACGGGTTATGCTGTTGTGATGGTGCGCGCGGAAAAAACTCCCCCCACTCGGGGTCTAGTATTCACTGTCCTCCCCGCCACATCAGTCTTCAACCCTACTTAATTACGCATACCTCTTGCCATCGAGGAACACATCGGGCCCACACCAAATCTCGCCACCGGTCGTTGGTGGAGGATGAAACGAATCGATGGGCGGGCGTAGATGGTCTCTCTCTCTCTTTCTCTCTCTCTCTCTCTCTCTCTCTCTCTCTCTCTCTCTAGCTCTCTCGTTCTCCCTCTCTCGCTGCACCGACGAATCTTTTGCATTGTTGAGAGCACGAATGAATTGCTCCCACGAGCAATGTGGCACATTTGGGATCGAATGTTTTAGCAGGGCGGCGAAAGCCGCCAGACACCTTGTGTTTCATTCGTATTCCGGAAGTGAATGCTGATAGTTTGTCTCCAACAGTGGACTCAACAAGCTCCCCCAATACACCAAGGGTCCTCAATCCTCAATGCTATGATTGAGGTAGGCAACCTGCATGGTGTGTCGCCCCGGAGGGCGCCTTGTTTTGGATGTCGATGTTGTTGTTGTTCTTGATCTTGTTTTTATACACATTTCAAAACCTGATCTGGACTCCTCTCAGTGCCGTACCTGTACCTGGTAATAACCGTAGTGGTCCAACGGACGCGGACGTCTTCCGTCGTCACAGTCGTACTCCGTAAAATGGCGTACACCTTTCCAGACGTCATTTTGTTCTGAAACAAACGCTCCGGGTACGTACGTAGCGCATCCTCCCCCTCCAGACGTTTTTAATGCTGTACTGTTCGCCAAGCGGGGCGTTCAATCCGGTCCATACGGTAGCCTCCACCTCGGTCGCGGCCGCCCCCCGGGGAATTCTCCACCCAACCACGGCATATTTACGCTGACATCGCCCGAGGGGCTACCGTAGTTGTTCGTATTTTGCGCGAATATGGGGAGTTCGGTAAACCCAATGACCGAAGGGAGTAGATATCATCGGGTTACATTGAACCAATCAGAACGCCGGGTTGGTGTATATCATAGCTGACGTGTGCCTGTCACGACATTTGAGGCAGGGCCGTCCGGAAGCCTGGCTCCGTCAAGACACGCACGCACGCTCACTTCTGCTTCCTACCCGTCGGTTCTATTCATCTAGAGCTGTGTGCAGAAGAGCTGAGAGTTTCAAGAGGAGAGCTGGCTGCAATGCAACACTACTTCATTATTTCGAATGGAACGGAATCATGCGGCAATGAATGTATGGCATTCTCGTTATGAGATGTTGGATGGGGAAGATCGAATGTGGCTCGTATCGGCAACGCGAATCCCAGATTTCCCGTAATGACGGAGAAAAAAGGCTTCAACAACGATGGACTTATCGAAGACGGGTGTAAGGCCTTTTGTGATACAAGCGAACTACCGACATTATCGGATCGATTTTTTCATAACACTGAGCACGGTTTCGGATGGCAGATCCCGAAGGTTAACATGATGGTGGAATATGGCGAGAGTACCGAATGTATCGCTACACTGTGAATTCTTGGACCCGTGAGACAAGAAACTTTCCACCTGAAGCTGCAGAAGCTGCAGACAACATTGAAGAAAAAGCTGGATCCGGGTGCTGGCATGTACACGCGAGGTTGCGAGGAAGGGACAGCGAGAAGAGCTTGAAATACCCTTTGAACGGCAAGACGGCAGGATTATTGTTGAGCAGCAGAACGAGCCAGCAAGCAAGGGTTCTGATGACCGTTGGAGGCTCATGATCGCCTGATGACTATCATTGTTGGATAGGGATATAATCAGCCGGCGATGGGACATATCGTGTGAGTCCTTGTCATTTAGTCGAAGTACGTGTTTTTTATGTTTTCCAGTGAGTCTTTGATAATTGCACCCGGAATGTGCTTGGTATGTGTATAAATGAATACTTTTGTTGCTTTGCACAACTATATGTTCGGTAGCGTTTGAAATGAAGTGTGCTTTATTATGTGTCTGAAGTGAGTGTTTGGATTGTCCATTTAATCGGTATGTGTTTGGAGTGAGTATATATATCGTATATGTCTGAAGTAAGCGGTTGTTTTGGTGTTTGGAGTGAGTGTTATGTGTTTGGAGTGCGTACAGTGGAACGAGAATTTGTTGTTCGGGTAAAACAAACTGTTTGGTACGTGTTTGGAGTGAGTGTTCGACATGTGCCTGAAGTGAGCGTTTGTTCGGTGGTTGGAGCGGGTCTTGTGTGCTTGGAGTGAGCAATGGTACGTGTTTGGTACTTGTTTGAAATGAGTCATTGTTCTGTTCGTGAGTCTGCGAACATTGCTGTTGGATACATGTGCTGGATGATTTTGTGTCACGCAGACTGGTAAGATAACCGTTTGATAGGGGGCACCGCGATGATTCACGGGGCCCCTCCTTGCTGTGGGAGCCGCTCTTTGAGTACTCCCTCTTTCGTCCGTGTGAAGGA